AAATTAATTGTTAGCTAACACTTGTTTGGTATAATTTATTTTCTCAAAAAAGCTAGTTGAAAAAGTTGTTTTGAATAGCTTTTTGAATTTTAACATTTTATAGTTACAAAAAGCTAATTAACCAAGTATTTATATTGAATTTAACCAAATTAAAGAGATAATAATGGTATTAAAATTAATCTCTAGATTAACTATTTTACCAAACAGGACCATAGAGAGCTGACTATTCTTTAATGTTTACTTTGTTTCTGGCCTTATATTCTAATTGTGAATTTTAGATAAGATTTATATATAGGTGGTATTTGCCCACAAGTTAAGTAATCTTGACTATCAAAAGTCACACTGTACTATTTAAGTATTTTAAATTATCCATAACGTATAAAACTATTAGCTGTCTGGTCAAAATTTGACCAAATTAGAGTCATGAGTCATAAATACAAGCATATAATCATATCCCTATTAATTATATATAAAGAAAAAAACTATAATGTTGATTAATAATGGTGTTTCTTGCATGATTACAGTTTACAACTAAAAAAAGGTTTGGGGTTATCGTATACCTTTTTATATTAATTTTTGGAATAAGGTTCAAATTGACCACTGAACGTAACTTGAAAATGTAATTAGGCCACTGAACGAAAAAAAAAAAAAGTGCAATTAGGCCACTGAACACTCCAAAAACGTGCAATTAGGCCACTGAACTCTTCAAACGTGTGCAATTTCACCGGATAGCAGGTTACCATCAATTTTAGCAGGTTACCTGCTTACGTGGCAGCTGAGTTGGCATTTTTAATAAATTTTAAATAATTTTTAATAATTAATTTTAATAATAAATTTTATAAAAAATTGGAAAAAAATAAATAAAAAATAAAATAGTCGTTTTTATTTTTTAAAAAAAATTTATTAAAAAATATTTAAAATTTATTAAAAATGACAACTCAGCTGCCACGTAAGCAGATAACCTGCTAAAATTGAGGGTAACATGCTGTCAGGTGAAATTGCACATTTTTGGAGTGTTCAGTGACCTAATTGTACTTTTTTTTTCGTTCAGTGGCCTAATTGCATTTTCAGGTTACGTTCAGTGGCCAATTTGAACCTTATTCCTTAATTTTTAATTGTATTTAGCTTAATTCACACTTTAAATCTGTCTCCAAAATTTAATATATAATAAATCACCACCTAAGAATGTATAGTGAGTAAACCTCATTTCATGATTCTAGCTAGCTGGTAAAAGAAACTCCAAAAAAAAAAAAAAAATTGTAAATCTACTTTTTTTTTAATGTACTTAAATTATTCATAATTGCACTTTCATGGTTCATAATAACGGTAAATAAGTAATCCAAATATATTTGAAAAGAAATACTTAACCAAAGTAGTATCTCTAATGGGGTGTTTGGTTGGGAGGAAGAAATTAGGAATAAAAGGAATTGTAATTTTGTGGGAAAAAAATAAGGTAGAAATAAAGAAGAATTCAAATTACATTGTTTGGTAAGGAATAATGGAATTATTGGGGATGAGAAGGAAAAAGTTGTATAAAGACTAAAATGTCCTTGTGTATTAATAATAATAACAATCAAAAAGGGTATTTTTGTCATTTCTTACATTTTTCCTTTCCCAAAAACATTGAATTGCAATTCACGGGTTTACCCCATGAATTGCAATTCAACAAAAGGAGGGAATTGCAATTCCAACCAAACACTGTAATTGAAGTCTTCATTGAATTACAATTCAATTACAACTATATTACATCCAACCAAACACCCCCTAAGAGTTTAAGTACAAGTTTGTGTATGTACGTGTCCACCCTGTTGTCATAGGGGTTCAACTTTTATGCCAGAGAATGAGTTACTAAGTATAACGGTTACAATAATGGTACAACGGCTCCCCGGCCTTACTAAGTGTCGTGACTCCTTAGTAATTGGTTTGCGCTCTCTTCCATAACTTATGTTCTTTGTCGGTCGGCATACCAATAAATGTGCTTTAAGTGTACTGTTCCACTTACTATCTGACCATGATTGTTATTATTTGATTGTCTTTACTGCTTTAACATGTTAGATCAAGAGCGTCAGGTCGAGTCCGATGCCTTGTCCAATTATCCTGTCACCCAATTATCAAATATTTGTAAGAGTTTTACTACATATACTCTCATTTCTCTCATTTTCTACTCTCTTACGTGACAATCATTGATCAATTATCTTTATTTTGTGATCTTAAAAAGAAAACATCTACATTCAAAGTTTAAATGAGTGAATTAAAGTTGAAAGTATAATTAGAGAATCCAACTAGCATTTTTCCATTTGTAAAGTAATCTACAAAAGAAAGCTTTATGCCTCGGGCCAGCCACTTGTTTGACAAGCCAAGAAGGTTCCTCATTAGCCTACCATCTTTGAATAGTCCTATTTGACAACTGTTCTCCGCGTACGTGTACGGATCACTCTCCACTGATACGTATAAATTATGGGCATTTCTTGCAACCTGCAACTCAAGCTACCTCTCAGCATCTACAATGGCGGCTTCTTCCATTATTCAGTTCTTGTCCTTCTCCTTCCTTCTCTTTCTCTGCTCCTCTTTTGCCCAAACCTCCTTTCGCCCTAAAGCTCTCGTCGTCCCCGTCACTAAACACGCTTCCACTCTCCAATACGTTACCAAAATCAACCAAAGAACGCCTCTTGTGCCGGTGAACCTCGTCGTGCATTTAGGCGGCGAGTTTCTCTGGGTTGACTGCGATAACGGCTACGTTTCGTCGTCTTACCGCCCGGTCCGGTGCCGGTCCGCGCAGTGCTCACTGGCGAAGTCCGCCGCGTGCGGCGATTGCTTCTCTGGGCCGAGGCCCGGGTGTAATAATAACACCTGCGGCGTGTTTCCGCATAATCCGATTATCCGGACGTCCACGAGCGGCGAGCTGGCGGAGGATGTCGTGTCGGTGGATTCGACGAACGGGTTTAATCCGGGGAAAGCGGCGGATGTTTCGCGTTTCATTTTCTCCTGCGCGCCGACTTCGCTGTTGGAAGGGCTAGCCACCGGCGCGGTTGGAATGGCGGGGCTTGGCCGGACCCGTATAGGACTCCCGTCGCAATTCTCCGCCGCTTTTAGCTTCCACCGGAAATTCGCCGTCTGCCTGTCGTCGTCCACCGGCGTTATCTTCTTCGGCGACGGGCCGTACCATTTCCTGCTAAACGTGGAGGCGTCGCAGCTCTTAACGTACACTCCGCTTCTGATCAACCCCGTCAGCACCGCCGGCGCTTCCGTCGCCGGCCAACCCTCGGCGGATTACTTCATCGGCGTCAAGTCAATCCAAGTCGAAGACAAATCCGTGGCGGTGAACACCTCACTGCTTAAAATCGACAGCCAAGGCAACGGCGGCACGAAAATCAGCACCGTCGATCCTTACACCGTCCTGGAAACCTCCATCTTCAAAGCCGTGACAAACGCCTTCATCAAAGCCGCCGCCGCGAGGAACATCACTAGAGTGGCGGCGGTTAAGCCGTTTAAGGTCTGTTTCAGCCCCGACAACGTTCTTGCCACGCGGCTCGGGGCGTCGGTGCCGTGGATCACTCTGGTCCTGCAAGGGCAGAGCGCGAGGTGGACGATCACCGGCTCGAATTCCATGGTGGACCTAAGGGACTCCGGGAAGAATGCGCTGTGCCTTGCGGTCTTGGACGGCGGCGTAGAGCCTAGAACTTCCATTGTTATCGGCGGTTACCAGTTGGAAGACAATCTTTTGCAGTTTGATCTGGCAACCTCGAGATTGGGTTTCAGTTCGACGCTGCTAGGAAGACAGACAACCTGCGCAAACTTTAACTTCACATCCAATGCTTGAGTGCATGGAATTGAATCTCATCACGTTATATATTGCTGCACAAGATTGCAATAAAAGGATCTTTCATGCCATGGGAGTTTCGGTTTGTTTTGTTTATATTTAAGATTTCTATGTTCTTTTTGTAACTTTTGTAGTATTGTCATGATGATAAAGAAAATAAATGAATAAAATACGATAATTATTGCACGAAATGTCATATTATACGATACAAAGTATTTATGTTATGGTTGGCGTGCAGTGGTGCAAATTGGGAGAAGCGGTCCCAATCACATTAATTAGGCATAATGTTTTGTATGTATACTAAATGGTAATGGGACATAATATAATGATGATAAAGTACGGAGTAGTACATCGCATTCATTGATTAGACACTCAAATTGGTCATAACACTTTATAAGTTGTTGAGGTGATGACGAAGTTGACCTACCTAACACTAATGGTCAAGAAATTTATTACTAATACATAGGTCGATAAGTCTACTAACATGAAGGTCGGTAAATTTACTAATGTAGAGCTGAAGTCGACAAGTAAACATGTACACTCTTGGGTTAGGAAATACACCCAAGTTACATCTATAAATACCCACTATGTTAGGGATTGCACATGTAGACTTCAGGGGTCGAGATGTAGACATGTAGACCCTCAACGGGGGTCGAGAAGTGTATATATAAGACCCTCATGAGATCGCGAAGTATACATGTAGACCATGTAGGCTTACTCTGGCAAATTATATCGTGCACCAGGGAGCACAATGCATTGTGCGTCCTGGCCAAAACGACGTCGTTTTGTATCTGTTTTTTTAAAAGAAATTCGTTTCCTATTTCTGCCGTTAATTTCTAAACAAAAAAAATCATCTGTTTCGAATGTACATAAACTCATAACAAAATACACATAATCTAATATAATACATAATACACAAACTCTTAACAGAATACACATAAATTCCTAACATAAAAACGACGTTATTTTAGATAGGACGCACAATGCATTGTGCGCCCTGGTGTACGATATAACGATATGCTTGCTTTATAACCCTATCAAAATGAATATATTTACTCAAAATTACGGATTTTGTAAGACCATATGGCCCATTTTTACTATTGGGCCACATAATTTTAGGCCCATAGGCTTTAGAAGGAACTTTACTATGTATATATAGCAAGACCCAATGCATAAAGTCGTTGCTCCGCCTGAAGATTGAAATTGCCCTAAGCGCCTAAAACCCTTCGCTCCAGCAAAGGCTCTGTAAGACCTAACGATTTTGTTCACTCTCTCTCAACGATGAAGCTCGTCAGGTCTGTTTTTCTTTCTTACTAATTTATTTTTATGAAAATTAGCATATTTCTGCCAAAATTAATCGCATAAAGCTTTCCGCTCAATGATTTACGCATTCATTTCAGGTTTTTGATGAAATTGAACAATGAGACTGTCTCCATCGAGCTCAAAAACGGCACTGTCGTTCATGGAACTATCACTGGTATCTCTCCGTCTACCTTATCTTTTGTTGTTATTTCTTGCAATCTCCTTTTTTTTCGAGCTGGATAGTGTGTGTTGTGATTTTAGGTTTTCACTAGGATTAATGGTTGTGGTGACAGTAATTGCGACTCTGTGAACTAGAAATGCTTGAACAGTCCACCCTTAAAGAATCAGAAGAACAGCTGTAGTAAAGATCTTCCTGTTTTATCTAAATCCTACTAGTTCTAATACTGGAGCAGGACTGGTGCAATGCACAAAGAAATGACAAAAGGAAATTGTTAATAGAAAGTTTAAGTGATAATACAATAAAATCAGTTGCATATATTGACTTGATTTGAATCTCTAGATTGAGTCAAGTGATTAGTTTTTGTTTAGAATGGCTAGTGGAAAAGTCTGGAATGTTGCATTTCCAAAATCAGGGGATCAATTTTTCGGTGTTCCTAATTTGTTGCATATAGGTAAGGGACTATAATACTGTATAAGCCTTTTCTGGTCCCATATTGATGGGGAAAGGGGCTATATAAGCTTTTCTAGTGACCAAGTGGCAAATGGGCTGTATAACTTTATATTTGTCTGTTTGTAGTAATTGAGCATTTAGATTCTTTAGAATGCCCGGGTTTCTATTGTTGAAATTGTTCTTATATGCATTGATTAGTTCATGGATGTCTTTGCTGCTGCTTAGTATACCACAATAGCATGATGCACAAAGTGGATGTGATTATGAATTCATATATATTATGTTATGAATTGCAATTTGCTTGTCATTTTCAGGTGTTGATGTCAGCATGAACACACACTTGAAGACTGTAAAGCTTACACCAAAAGGGAAGAATCCCGTGACAATGGATCACCTGAGTGTGAGGGGTAACAACATTCGTTATTACATACTGCCGGACAGTTTAAATCTCGAGACTTTGCTGGTGGAAGAAACACCTAGGGTGAAGCCAAAAAAGCCCACTGCTGGTATGGCCGTGTGTACTCCATTAGTTTTCGTATGCCTGCACTACTCCAATTCACTAACAACGTGCCTATATTTACTTCTAATGTTGTCTCCATTGTTTTGCTGTTTCAGGACGGGCAATGGGGAGGGGCCGAGGACGAGGGCGCGGGCGTGGACGTGGGCGAGGTCGCTAGATGGCTTCCACTGCTATCTCAGTGTTTTGTGTCATCTGTTCATGTACACATATATGTACCAATGCAGAGTTTATTTCAATCTATTTTACTAACCATGATTGGAATTATCCAATTAATCCAATTGTTCTTACATTCTAAGGACTCCTGCCGAATTATGTTATGTTTGAGCCTTGTCGGAACAGTTTTATTTCCTTTTTTTTTTTTTTTTTTTTTTCCCCACCTCACCATATTGGATTACCAGTAGACATGTAATTCTGGTAAAAAAGAATTTCTTGTCTAAAGCTTGCAACCATTATTTATTAGTATCATTGCAGGTATAAAAGTGACCTTAATTTCCTCTTTCTCCTTGACCCTTTAAAAGCATTTACCTCATTAGCTGCTTTAAAAAGAGTTATTTAGTGATCATTGATCAATCAACATATAGGCATATGATTGCCTATTAGAAGATTTTTGGAAAATTTTAGTATGGCTATTGTATTAGGTATAACTAAAAATGAATGTAAAAAATTTTGAGATTCATACTAGAAGATATAGTATACATTGTTAATACCATCTGAGGTCCTCTGAGTATAGTAGTTTTGCCACGTTTAGTTATAAATTTTCAAATTGACCATCTGTGGTCCTTCAACTTTCAAATTTAACCATTCGCGGTCCAAGTTAACCACCCGTGGTCCTTCAAGTTTCGAAATTTAACCAGCTATGGTCCTCTTGAAAGGACCATGGTTGGTTAAAATTTAATAGTTTAAGGACCATGGGTGGTAGATGGTCAATTTGAAAATTTAAGACTAAACGTGGCAAACCATTATACTCAAGAAGACCTTATATGGTATTAACTCTAGTATACATATCCCAAGTTTATATATACATTTTAGCTTCCATCTAAGTCCCGTACCCCAACTTTGATCATTCCTTGCGATAGCTTCAAACATCTTCCGGCGGCAGGGGTACATTCATTCTTTTAGGAACAGTTACATCACCCTAGCTGGGGTTTTCCGGCATTCTCACCGGCCGATATCTTTGGGTTTTCCATGATTCCTTCATATTCAATACGCCTCACTTTTCCTAGTTTTGATGAGGGGATTCTCCTAGTGAATATTGATAATTTGATTTGAGATTATAACTATTTTGCCTACTTATATATATTTTACTACTTTATTATCATATTTATGTTCCTTGATAATGACAAAAATGGGGGTAAATTTAAAGGAGTTAGATAATGACAAAAATGGGGGTAAATTTAATGGAGTTAGTTAGATAATTGATTTTGTATCATAAGGTTTTGCCTATTTGTCTTATTAGTTTGAGCCGATCAATTATGAACCAGTTATGTTGACTAAGGTTACAAAGTGGGCCCTAGGTCTTGTGGTCTTTTATCGATTAGGTTTATAAAGTGGATGAATTTTATGCTGGTTTATCTCATTGTGATATTTTATTGACTAAGATTACAAAGTGTGCTTTACTTATACGCACTTTTGGGTAATGGTAAATTGGTAATGACTCATTACCCTTCCCCTTTTTTGTATTTTTGGACTGAGAAATTCTATTTGCACCACCCTATTTGCTATTTACACCACCCATTTAAAAGGGGTAATAGCTTTATAGGTGGTGCAAATAGAAAAGTGTTATTTGCTCTACCTCATTAAATGTAGTCAAACATTAATCTTTATTATTTATTTTTATTTAATAATCAATCTATTAATTAAACAAAAAAAAAACATCACCTTCCCCCGCTGCCTTCTCACCGGAGACCCAGGCAGCCTTCTCCGGTGAGAATTTTGTTTGCGTTCTGGAGTTCCGTTTTATGGATTTAATCTGTTCTCTTCCGTTTTAAATTTACGTTGCTTTGTGCTTTTGAATTTAAAATGATTTATGAGCTTCCAGATTTCACGGTGACCATAGGTCTGTGCTCGGGTTGGTGGTGGATTCTTCATCTCAGGTACCTCCCTGTTTTTCTTGCTTTTTTCCTCTCATCGCTGGCGGGTTCTTGTGGTGGTTGGTCTATCCGGTGGTTTGGACTCATACGGCGAGAACCCCTCTTGGTTCTTTGACCTCTTTCTTGAACCTTTCTTTCTTGAAAATGGCGGCTGGAGTCCAGACTGAGATGGGGTGGCCGTTGGTGCATCTGCTCACTCTTTTCGTTGACATCCACGTTTTTCCGGTCATTTTTGGATGGGTATTTGGTTCGAGTTCATGGTGGTCTTTGTTCCCGGCGGTGTTCGTTGCTAGCTTCCATGGTTTCTTGCTCTGGCCACGACTTTTCTGGAGACTCTGCGTCGTATGGTTGCTTCTCCGGCGTTGAAATGTTTTCCGGCGTTTAGACAGTGGCCGGCAACCCGCCTTCTCCGACGGTTTCTTAGTTTTTTTTTTTTTTTTTTTAATATTTTATTTAACTAAATTTTGAATTAAAAATTATTAATTTAATTAAGGTGGTGCAAATAAGTACTTTGAATACCCCTTTTACCTATTTACATCACTTATGTAATTATTAAAATCTTTTACTTTTTTACAATTCTAAAGTACTATATATCAACTTTTGACCAAAGAGTGGTGCAAATAGCAACATCTATATAAATATGGATACAAAAGTTTAAAAGTCATCCCATTTATTTATTTATTTGTTTTTATTTTAATTATAGTTATTATTATTGTCAAATCAAGGAAAAGACAAAAAAAAGTATTTTAATTGTGAATATTTAATTTCAACCCCAAAATTTTTTTGAAATTTAAATTTGATTGTGAACCAAACACCCGGTCCGATTTCCTATGCGGCCCGGAAGTACAAATTTGGTCCGACAACCTATACGATATTACGATTTACCCTCTTTTGCAGCAGATTTACCCTCGTCTGCACCAAGAACAAGGGAGCAATAGTCGTCTTCTTCGCATAAACGATTGTTCGTTGTCGAGATAAACATCATGAAGAGGAAGCCCAAGGCTGCAAAAGAAGCTTCAGCAGACAAGGTATATATATCATATATGTTTGGAACACAAAAACGAATTCCAAGTTTCAGTCTTTTTCTCATTGTGTGTGGGTTTGGGGTTTGGGTTTACCTGGAATTGAAAAACGGGGCTTGGGGTGGGAGAACTTTGGGCGTTTTGAGCTTTAATTAATGCTGTAGTTCATCACAGAACCAGATGGTACAATGTAGTATGAAACTGTTAAGGATTCAGGATTGTGAGTTTTGGGTGTTATCTTTGAGACTGTAAAGACTGGAACTTTTTTGCAGTAATTGAAAAGTACAAAATCAGTTTCTGTACTTGTTTTCCTTTCCCTTTGTTGGTCATGTGGGAGTCACAAATGGTAGCTGCTTGGTGATATATTTTGTGTTTATTTAATGTAAAGCATTTGAAAATTTATAGATCTTGAAAATTAAGTGGATAGTGACTCTCTGGTTTAAGTAATAGGGCAGAAGATTTGGTTTTAGATTGCAAGTCTCTGCTCAATCAGACCATATTGAATTATATTTTGAATTTTGGTTAAAATCCTTGTTTGCAGGCCATGGAAAACAACCAAATAACGGTTTCAAAGCCCTCGAGCCCGGTGTCAAAGAAGACAGCATCCAAGTACATTGGTTCTGATGTTAGACGATCTGGTCGGCTTCAAAAGATAGTCTCACCTGCTGGGAACAAGCGTGTTGCTAAGGAAGTTGATCTTACTGATAACAAAATGGAAGAGGGGCGGGACCCTCACGCTGAGGAGCGGGGAGGGACCACTGAGCTCGCGCTGGAGACTGATCATGGTGATGGAAAACCCGAGGAGGTGCAGATTGTTGAGCCATTTATCGCCAATCCAACTGAGGAACAGATAGCCATGGAAGAGAAAATCGACTACCTGTATCAGACAGCAAAAGACCTAAAAGCTAAGGTACATATATATATATCCTAGTTGTTCTGTTCTTGGTTATGCTTTATTGTACGAGTATATTCTTTAATCCAATTCGTGAACAGGCTGCCAAAAAGTCGGTACCAAGTGGAACAACTACATGTGAAGACCTGAAATACAAGGACTTGTATATTGACTCGGAGAAAAAGGTTTAGCTTCTTAAATCGTTTTTACCCCTTTGTTTGTTTGATTCTTCCATAAGTGTTGCCTCATTTAGATTATTCTGATCGATTTTAGGTTGAAGAATTAACCCACGTAAACTTTCAGCTAGCCAAGGATTTGGAGTTTGCCCGTGGCAAAATCGAAGCTGTGAGTTAACAATACCTAATAGCTTATCAACATTCATAATTCGTTATTCTAACTATTGATAACTGCAGATTCTTGGAGTATGTTTCATTGCATATTATCTGTTCTTGTTTTCAGTATGAGAGATTTATTGATGCTTCCACGGGGAAGGTAAAGGAAATGATTGTTTTGACAAATTTTGAGAGAGTTGCTGAAACTGTCCTAAACCTATCTGAAGACGAACTAAAGAAAAGTTATGCAAACAAGAAAAGCGGTGCAGATACTGAGGCTCCTAATCCTTTGCCTCAACCGAAGATCGCCCACACAAACGCTCCGTCTGCAGCAAGAAATGCGAAAAGGAAGAAAACCTCTCAATAGCATAAGGAAAACGGAAAAGACCCTTGGTTTTGGTTGTATGTTTAATGATTATTCGGCATTGTAACGGGTAGAAGTCTTAACTGATATGGTTTTGTGGAAATTTTGTTTCCTGGAGAACAATGATCTGGTAGGAGGATTGATTGTGCTTTAGGCTTAATGACTTGAAAATTGGTAAAAACATCCGGCCCCTTTTACCTTAGAAAACTATTCTATGTTATCTGTTTTTTAATTTTTCTGTTTCCATTCTCTGTTTTTTTGTTTAGAAAATTTGTTTACTAACACTCATTTTTTTTAATTTATTTTTCCATAGAACAAGGTACTGCTCTTGTATTATAATAGTCTCTACTCGAGAACTGTATGAAAAATTGGATCATGGCAAAATGCGCCAAAAGCACAACATATATACTTTTTTTTTTTTTTTTTTTTAAGTGACGAAAATGCACGCAATTACTAAATTCTCACCTTGTGATTAAACCAGCTTAAGCTACCCATAATTAATTTGTCAAAACCAAGAAGGGCAATAAACCAAAACATTGTGGTTTTCGCTTGTGATTAAACCAGCCTAAGCTACCCATTATTCATTTGCCAAAATCAAGAAGCCCAATAAACCGAAATATTATGGTTACTTAGCTTACCAACTTGACTGAGATTGCTCTCTACAAAGCCTCTCTTTGACATCTGACCATGCATGCTAGTTAGCTCATTCTTATCGCCACCTTCATCCTATCCATGCATGCATGTGAATATATAGGCATCATGCATGCTTTAAGGAAAAACAGAGAGCAAAGAAGAAGAAAAACTCATGCATGCAGATACCTAATTCCATGGCCGTAGAAATTTTTGTGTGGAGTAGGTGAGAAGGAGCTATATATATATATATATATATATATATACCTGTTCCTACGGCGCATTAAAAACTTGCAGCTACTCACTGCTCCTATGGCGCATTTAAAACCCGCAGCTACTCACTCACTCGTAGCTATCTCGTCATATCACCATTCTATCTGGGAAGAAGATCGATCGATTGATCAGAATCATCATTATCCATCAAGATGTCTGGGCCTCAATGCTGTGAGAATCCACCCACTTTGGATCCAAGCGCCGGAGTTGGGTCGGTGGTGGAGCTGGGCGGCCTCAACTCATATGTTACCGGTTCTTCCGATTCCAACCTCGCTATCCTCCTCGCCTCCGACGTTTTTGGTACGAATTTCTCAGACCCACATACATACTTTGGGTTTCTTGATCTGCATTTAATTGTTCAAGAAATTAAACTGAGAATTGAAAGATTACACCTTTGTTGTTCTTCCATATATATATTCACTTTCCTCTCTTTCACTCTTGTTCTAATTTGCAGGTTTTGAAGCTCCAAATCTCAGGTACCCTCATCATTTCTCCTCATCAAACTGTTTCGCTGCTAGTACATACTACTGTTTGGTTTTCATCAGACTTATTATATATGCTGTAATAATATTATATATGAAGGAAGATAGCTGACAAAGTTGCAGCTAATGGATATTATGTTGTGGTTCCTGATTTCTTCTATGGAGATCCCTATGTTTCTGGCAGTTCTACCGATGACTGGCTTCAAGAGCATGGAACAGTATGTATATATTCTGTACTCATACGTACTGCAATAATATTGCCATACATATATACATACTCCTTAAGCCTCAAGTGAACTATTTCATTATATTGTGCAGAAATTTCCCATTCTTGCTTTATGATCTTTTTGTGTAGGAAAAAGGATTTGAAGACGCGAAATCTGTAATTGCTGCTCTAAAGAGCAAAGGAATCTCTTCCATAGGAGCTGCAGGATACTGCTGGGGTGGTGAGTATCAGATGAGATCAGATTAGAAATCCCATAATATATATATCCTCTTGTTTCAGATTGTATGTAATTATTGTGGCATCTGAATCTCTTTGCAGCTAAGCCTGTTGTGCAGCTGGCTCAGTCTAAGGATTATATTGAAGCTGCAGTTTTATTGCACCCATCATTTCTTACAGGGGATGATTTCAAGGGTATGTATGTACCATTGAAATTTGCATTGCACCAGGCAATCCAACCAAGTTGGTCATATAGTCTGACTTGATAACTACAAAGTTACAAGTTCGACTCACAGTGAAAGCGGCCTATTGGCCTTCATGGTTTAAGATGGTCAGCTATTGACAACTTAGACTAGTTTACCTCCTTGTGGTTCTTTGCTGGCTAAGGTCACAAGGCGGGGTTTACCTAGTGTACACCCTTTGGTATCACTCGCAAAAAAAATAAAAAATTGATTTGTTTTCAGAGGTGAAGGTTCCTATTGCTATTTTGGGGGCTGAACTTGACCAATTAACTCCACCAGAGATTATTAAAGAATTTGAAGAGATCCTTTCATCACAATCTGAGGTGACATTGCATGAAACTTATGGTCTGTCTGTTATGTAATTGGTATCTTCTCATAGTTTTAGGCTAAGCATATATATATATATATATATATATATATGCCTTTGTTGTTCATGGAAACAGGTGGATTACTTTGTGAAAATCTTCCCTGGTGTTGGCCATGGATGGACCATAAGGTACAATGATGAAGATGAGAAGGCTGTGCAGAGTGCTGAAGAAGCCTATCAAGACATGTTGAATTGGTTTATCAAGAACATCAAGAACTAATAATGTTTTTAGTACAATTAAGTGTTTGAATGTACTTTGCCGGCTAAACTAATGTAATTTTTAGTACAATCAGGTGTTTGAATTTGTCAAGTATCTTGTGATCTGATGACATCGTTATTAAGGTCACAGGCTTAATAAATCCCATCTCAATAAAGTATTGGAATACTTTAGACTAGAAATTTTAATTGTTCATACTTTCATCAGAGAGAACATAATTTTGATATTCTAGTCAATATAGGCCATAGAAAGATTATATGTACTCTGAAGCTTCCAGTTTACATGATTAGGCACATTTTCATCCTACTACACAGAGAAATGGACAATATAAGGCTTTCATCATTACAAGAAAACCCTAAATTTACAGCTTTGTTAATCTAGAATAGTGGCACCTGATGAAATATTTCTAACCCTAAAAATGCATTTTGGCTAGACCTCAGTTCTCGGTTTCTTGGCTACATTGCTGATGTTTACAACAAGGCAGCATCGACTATAGTCTCTGTTTCACACGCCTACCATTGGTGTCACTCCCATCTTGGATAGCTTCTTTTAACAGCTTGCTTGCAATCGCGGGGTGCTCATTCACCCTCGCCACATACTCCAACAGTTCTGTTAGGACCCGAGGACAGCTTTCTTTCAAGTATTCGAAACCATCTGTCTGCATGACAGCTGCAAAACAGTATTCAGTATATATAAGTGCCATTTATAACGGAGTTCTACTATATGGACTCCAAAATTTTACTCTCTGATGTGGCGGGCACTGATAAGCTACTTTTTTCATATGGGTCCCAATACAAGTGTCTACATCAAGATTCTGTGTGTGGGAGGATCCCTAATGTAATCCTCCTTAAAGGGTTTAATGTGATTACTGTGTGTTATGTGTTTGGCAAATCCCGACAAGTTCTTTGAAGATGAAACTGACCTCTAAGGTTTTCAGGCGACGCAATGAATTTGAGACAGACAGACTTCAGCTGGAAGCAATGGTGTTGTTCAGCTAAGGCTAAAGTTGTGGCAACAGTATTAATGGTCACGTCCTCGCACAAATTAGCCTCACAGAGCAACCTAAGCCTGTCTAAACCATACCGATCAGAAGCTGCGAGTAGATGCTGAGCCATCAAGGTTGAAGCCCACATTGAGTTCATACCCGTAAGTTCTTCCATATCAGGCAACACATCACAGTATATAAAATGCAGGAGAGCCTGAAAAGTGAAAAGCACATTCCATTAGCCAAATATTTGGAAAACTGGATTAAAGAACTTGTTGAACACCACATTCCATGAGAATTACACGAAAAAAACCTTAAAAACAGGGGCCTCCATATCTTCAACATTAATGCTCATGTTTTGATCCTTCATTGGACCAAAAAGTTGTGCTCTAAACACCGGTGACCGGGCAGAAAGTACCAACTTGTGAGCTGCAAAGGTCTCTCCATTAACTTCAAAGTTCACATCAGTCCCCTTTCCACTTTCCAGAAGCTGCCCAAAGTGCAAGCCAATGTCTGATGGCGGTACAGATATAGCGTAGGTCTTAGGCCCCTCGGTCCGAGACCTAACAACCCCAACACAACAATGAATTTGAAGGCAATCATCTTTCAGGTAGTCCGACGATTCAAGAACCGTTCTTTTGAAAAATCTTTTATATCCCCTGCATCATAATAACCCTAAACTCATCATATCATCCCAATTGAGTTAGTTCCAAACAGGCTATGAACACACAAACAAAGCTCACACTTGCAAACACACCAACAAGGCAACAACAACCAAAGCTACATCATGTTATATGGACTATATATTTAATATATAGAATCTCTATAGATTAGACAGTCTTCTAGCAAGAATTTATAGGGCTTTGTATTTCTCTTTTCTAATCTTATCTTTACTTTTAAGACATTAAACAAAATCTGGATTACAGAAAAACAAGAAAATGAAACTAACCACATGCTTCCACGGTATTTAAGGGTGTAAGGGCCGCTCTCCAACGCCCTGCCGAAATGGGTATGAACCTTATGCCTCTCCTTGCCGCTCTGATCAATAAGCGTCAATTCAAAAAGCGCCCTCACATCCGTCCCCTCGCTCGCAAGAGCGATGAACAGAGAAACGTAGGTAGCATTGTCCTCTACGCTCTTCCCGTCGGGATAGAAATAGATTGCCCAAGAAAATCCACCCACCACGAACGTATCGGAGGTCACGTACTTTCCGATCCCAATCCCCTTCGACAACGAGTACCCAGTGATCCTAAAATCGTGTGAGCCATTCACTGTCTCAGTGATCGACGTCGAAGCAGTCGCCGACGGCGATAACCTGTCATCGGTTTCTTTGTCAGCCCTTCTCATGCTCCAATTTGATCAAGCTTTCGACGATATCTTACGAGACTTTCCCGATTTGGAGTGCAATTAAAGCAATGAATTCGATTAAAGGGGTGAACTTGGGAATGGAATCCAGATCCACGGTACAGAGAGAGAAATTAAACGGAAATGGGTAAGAGAAACAGGGTTTATCTGCAGAAATCTAGGGCGTGGAAGCAATAATTCAGCGAGCTCTGGTACCCTAAAATTTCTAGGGTTTCCAACACGGAAAGAGAAGAGGAAATCAAGATTTTGAAAGAGGGGAGCAGAGACAACAATGGATTATATAGAGCAATCATTAAGCCCAGTGCAGTAATACTAGCTGACCTCGGGTCCCCATCGATACTAATGTCATATTGTATATGATACAATAATACTTATGTCATATTGTATATGATACAATAATACTTATCAAAAACTCGAATCAAGCCAGTATTGTATTATACCTAAATACAATATATCACACATATGTATATATTACAATAGCATGAGATATTGTTGAGATTAATACTGAATTGCTGATTGTAGTTGTAACAATTTGTAAGTGTTTGCAAGAAATATAATGATGCTAATAGTACTCATTATATCTTTGTGTGTACGTAGGATATAATGTAATGGCAATAAAGAGAACAAAGTGAGTGTGATTCATCTCTAATATAGTAAATACAGGTATGTCCATGAATACGTACAACCCGTAAGGTTGGGTTGTAGATGAATCCTTAATAGGTTGCTTATTAATTATAATCTAGAACTCGGGTAATGACTTGAGGTCAAAGGATCCTGAGCTATAGTGTGGTATGTAGAAATGTCAAAAGTCTCTCTGATTATATTTAATGTAGTATTTATAGCGAAAGAAACAGGAACACATGTCGGCATTCGGCATGCTCACCACGTGTCGCGCATGTAGCCGGTGGGCTCGGGAACAATGCCACGATAGCCACGTGTGTTTAGATTCCTGATTGTCCATTGAGATGGGTTCGAGTGAAGGCCAGGAATCTAGGTTCAAATTCTCAAGTGGCCCTGCTCGGGATGACCGTCTCGACCTAAACAGGTCGGAGCCGATTCTTAAGCAATGGGACACTACTGCAATATTTATTTAACCCGGTTATTGTCTTTAGGTCGGGAATATCATGCCAAATGGTCGGGAAAGATTTTTCTAGGCAATCTGACCGAATACCGAGCATGTATACAGTAAGTAAAGGAAGATATACTCAGGGAGTATTTCCTATCAATCTCTATTGTCTAATTTTCTGGTGATTACACAAGAATGAAATTTATTTTATACACGTGTAATTTACAAATAATTACACAATAGTAGAGTTTATTCATGGATACTTTTTACATAATAAATTTTTTTGTTGTAGTTAAAAAATGATAGGGTCCATTAATGAGTGTAGTTAGGTTGGCACCAACTATGAATGCATGGTCTAAGAGAGCAGGCGACGTGGGGCATCCCATGTCCGGTAGGAGATCCGTTTCCGGCAAGGATGTTCAACTTTAGTCACATTTCAGTCGTCACAACTTAAATAATTTCAATCGTCACAACTTAAATATTCTCCAATACATTGAATGATCGTAATAAACGTTACGTATGCAATTATTACAACTTATAATGGATAAAAAAAGAACGTCTAATACATTTTTACTATTGATCATCAAACTTAAATTAAAGTGACATAATTTGTAGACATATATTAAAATAATATTTAAATAATGATAATCGAACATCATATAAGAAAACAATTATAGACGAGAGGTTTGACGTAAAATATAATTCTTAAAATATTTTAAAACATTTATAATAATAATAATATAATAAGTTACACATAATAGGTAAATTACACTAAAAAGATTTTATGCAATAAAGTTGACTAGAAAATAATTAGAGTTAATTCCAGCAATGGTCCTCCGACTATATTGATTTTTCAAAATTAGTCTCTGACTTTTAATTTGGACACTTTACGTCCCTTGACTTTCAATTTCTTTCCAATTGAGATCCTTTCGTCATATTACGGTAAAATGGACTTTAAATGAAAGGGTAAAGTAGCCATTTCATCTGCTTAATGTATAATTCTTCGTATTTATTCCTTGTATACGCGACTTCGGACATCAGATTCACTTAATTGCTTAATGACATTTTGTTCTTCGAGTGAATTTATGGATTAAGCAATTAAGTGAATCTAATATCCGAAGTCGCGCATACAAGGGAGAAATACGAAGAATTATATATTAAGCAGATGAAATGACTACTTTACCCATTCATTTAAAGTCCAATTTACTGTAATTTGATGAAAGGACCTCAATTGAAAAGAAATTGAAAGTCAAAAGACGTAAAGTGTTCAAATTAAAAGTCAAAAACTAATTTTGAAAAATTAATGTAGTCGGAGGGCCATTGCTGGAGTTAACTCAAATTATTAATAAGAATTAAATTTATAATCAGTTATAATTATTCAGGTATAAAAATTAAAAATCATACTTTATCAATTTGGTTTTGTGGGGCCTATAAATTACTTAATATTTTTGTCGTTAAACAAAAAAAAAAAAAAAAAAAAAAAAACTGTGAATTTAACTGAGAAAATACATATATATATTTTTAATTAACAACTGGCTATCGCCAGGAACCACAGGAACCAATTGGATGACAGAGCTCTCATCCCGTGATATTTTGGTATCATTAGCGGTAGCAAATTCTGAGCCACTATCCGGAATTGGGAATAGAATCTCTGAAATTTGCGGTGCGGAGGAAGATAAGTCCAAAGATTACGATGATTTAACCCTCAATCCATTTCCTAACCAACAACTATAGCGACGATTAGCATTAGGGGTTGGTTGGTTGATTTCTCAACAACAAAAAATGGTTGGGTGTCTCATGGCTTCTCGTGGGTTCTCTCCTTGGCTCCTTCTCCCTCAAGAACAGGGCACGGCTAGGCTCTCCAAGGTATAAAGATCTGGTTTTGAATTTCTTATTAGTATTGGGTAGTTTCTGAATTCTGATTTCATCTCTGGTGTAGCTTGATTTAGATTTCCTATCTACAATTGTCAGTTTTTTTCCCCCAATATCTCTTTCTTCTGTGTGGTTGAGCTGCGGATTTCTTGTTCGTTTCTCCTAGAATTGGCCTCTTCTCTGCAAGATATACAAGTACCATTTGTATAACAGTATAATTAAATTAGGTAAAAAAAAAAAAATTTGGTTGCTATAGTCAAGAGATTTGAGCTGATATCTGCTATATATAATCATATCTATATGTTTTTTCGAATATGGAAGAATTTTTTTTGTGTGGCTAGAGAAACCCGCCTTGTGATCCGCTAAAGGGCAACCAACCAAGAAGGCCGATAGGCCGTTCCTGTTTGGAGTCGAATTTGTAACCTGGAAGAAGTTTAACAATGGATATAATAGATTGGGTAATTTGAAAGTTGGTTTCATGTAACTGATTACAATTGAATGCTGTAAGTAGTGCTGATATTGTACTTTAGCTAGAAGGTTCTTTATAGCAAGATGTGGATGCTTTGATATTGTAGTATATGTGTAATTTTACTGTTTTCTGCACTGCTTGGTTGGTGAAAATGGATGGTTGTGCTAATTTGTGTCAGCTTTTTTGAGAAATTTATGTGCCCTTTCAACTTTTCATTGAGGAGAAGTAATTTTCCATCTTGAAATGGCTTTAACCATACTAATCTCTGTATCTCGTGATTGCAACAATTTTACTACTCTAAATGCGATACTTTTGCATGATTACATGTTGGGTTATCTTTCGTCAATGATAGCTGCCCTTTTTTCTTGCAGAAGTTAATTAGTCTCGCGCTTTGAACTTCCATCGGTTTGCTTCATGCATAATTACACTCCCATATGGCCATATGTGTGTCTACAATTATTATTCTTTTTGTTTATGTGTGCTCCTTTCTTACAATGCTATTTTTTTCGATCTTTTTTGTTAAAGGAGCATCTGTCTTTTGTTCCAAGTCCTGGAACGAACCAAGATATACTCAAGTCAAGTTCAGTTAACCTAAGGTTGCAGCAAAAAGAGAACTTGTGGAAAACCGTGTGTATGCTCTTGGATGCTAAACAGATTATCCAGATGAATACCAACAGTGGGAGACCTGAACTAGTTGATATTCAAGGTCTGTAAATCGAGCTATTCTCGGAATATATGTTTCTGTAAATGCATCGTGCTGAAATAGTTTTCTTCGTTTTTACAGCTGAATCTCCTTCCAATTCAGAGCTCTTCAGCTTTGGGATTGCGGAACAATGCAGAAGGCACGAGAAGGTTCTGAAGTACTTCATGTCTGGTTCAAACGAAGTGGATTTGTCTACACTGCTCGATTTAACGAGTCCACAAGCTATGGCCATGCCTCAATCGCTATCTGATTCTCTTGCTGAGTCTCAGTCGTCTCTTATATACCCTAGTAGTTCGTTCTCCCTCCAGATTCCCCCTTCGGATGTTGCAGGGGCCTTGGGCCATGACCTAGAAATCGCCCCCCTTTCTGATGGACTACTGTGTCCTAGTGAATCCACTACTTTGGTCGAGATGAAGGATATACTTTCTATAGTTTCCGAGTATTATGAGTTGAAGAACTTGAACTCGATTAACGGTGGAAAGCAGTCATTGCTGGTTCCATACTTCGACAGGTATCTTATGGTTATATCGAATTCTATGGATAAGAATGTCTGGCTTTTTTTGCATTACTTTGATATGTATTCCCCGCTTCTCGTGGGCTATATCTTGTTTTTATTCATACATGATTCCAAACTGGTAATTTGCTTTGAATTCAGGAAAATGATCAGGGAAGTGAAGGCTAAACCTTCTACTCAGAAGCTTGAAAGGTAGGCAAATGCATACGCTTTTACTTCAATTGGTTATTTGACTCGATCCTTTCTTTCTGTATGAAGATGCTTTGTTCTTATAATCTTATATATCGCGCTGTTTTGTAGTCCCGAGAGATTCAAGACATCACCGAAAAAGAAAAGCAACAAAAAACTGGTCGACGAGAGAGATCTTTACAGGAACAACAATCTCCATGCCTGTGAAAGCCTCCTCTCCATAATGGTAGACAAGAAGCGACAGGGAAGAACAGCCATCGACTCGTTGAAGAAATCTGGCGGTGAGCTTCCCAGGTTTCTCACCCACTTCTCTGCTGTCATTGCTGGTACTGGCCTTGCTGTCATTTTCTCCGTCGCCTGCAACCTAGCTTGCGGGAGAGTGGCTTTCTCTGCACCCAAAATCTTCAACGCTGGGTTAGGTCTTACTCTGGTGTGGCTTTCATGGAGCGTGAACAATCTAAGGGACACGGTTATCTCGATCAGTAAATGTTCAGGCAAGGCGGGCACGAGAGAAGAGGAGATGATGAATAACCTGGACAAGAATGCGAAGGAGATTTACTTCAGGGCTGTAGCTTTCATGGCTGTTGCCGCTCTAAGGTTCATTTGACAGCAAGAACATCATAAAAGGGATCAAGAACATGGAGAATTAAATGTACATTTCCCTCGTAAAATGCTTTGTAGAATCTGTGAATGAAAACTTCTGGTCATACTAGTAGTAAAAGTAATTCCTCAGGGATTGTATTAGGCCTAGGCACATTTTTCGTGTTGTAAATCAAACTTGTTTCTAGTAAACATCAAAGCCTAGGCTTTTTTTTTTTTTGCAACTCTCTGGTCCTAAGTACCAAAGAACCATGAAACTATGTATTCAACAATAAATAACACATACAAAACATCAATAGATAAGAAACTGAAAATATGATAGTAAATTAGAAGCACTATTTATTCACTGATGCGTAGTAAAATTGTTGAGCAATTGCTACTTCAAAAACCTATAAGAAAATGCTAAAAGGGATTAAAAACCTTTTGAGTATGATGAATTTCACATCACCCTGCCTTGACATTAACCACAAATATATTTTGATCAGATGACGAGTACAAAACAAACCAAACACAGGATTGCAATGCGTAACACTAGAATAGTTCTAGTTCTAGTTCTAGCCCCTCTCTCTCCGACAAAAAGCATAGAGAAGCCTAAACTGCAATAGCATGTGCACCTCAGCTTATAACTTTGGAAACGACACCAGCACCGACTGTCCTGCCACCTTCCCTCAAGGCAAATCTTTGACCTGTGAAATGAAAAGCATCAAGTCAGTTGCTCATAGTATGTTACTATGTCGTGAAGGAAATCAAACCAATTTATAACTGGATTTGAAACAAGTTAAGCCTACAAAACAGGAAGTATTGTTCAAATCTTTCTAATATGGTAATGTGTTCACCTTTTTCCAGTGGAACAGCAGAGATTAGCTCAAAAGTAGCGGTTACATTATCCCCAGGCATGACCATCTTGACGTCTTCTGGCAACTCAACTTTACCCGTGATGTCAGCTGTCCTCATGTAAAACTGAGGCCTATAGTTTGAAAAAAATGCAGTGTGGCGGCCACCTTCGTCCTTGGTGAGCACATATATCTCTGCCTCAAACCTCTTATATGTCTTCACTGTTCCAGGCTTTGCGATCACCTGCAGAAAGAAACACAAAAAATTAAATAAACAGTGGAACTTTGTTTTATTTCAAGAACTTCATCAGAGCTAAGAAGAGCCAACATTTGCAACTATATAGGACTCCTTTCTGGATGGGTTTGGATTGTGTAAGGGAAGGTCAAAAGACTCAAAGGGGTATTAATGAGTAAAAATTCACTGCATATTAGTCACAGCTTCGCACATACCAAAAGCAATGGAAAAAAAATGCAAAATTGTAATACAAAACATGCCACTAACCATTCCTCGCTGGATATCATCACGCTTCAAACCACGCAATAGAAGACCAACATTGTCACCAGCCTAAATAAAGAAAAAAAAAAAAAATCAGTAAGTCCTACATGCAAAATTTAGGTTTAAAGTATATAATTCATCTCATGCTTACTTGTCCATAATCCAAGATCTTCTTGAACATTTCAACACCAGTCACTGTACTTTTGAGATTTCCCTAGAGACAAATACTCAAAGTCATGAGAACTGACAAATATGGCTATACAATTTAATCATACAGTGTATCCAACAATCCCACAAATCATGCTTATTTGAATTTAATAAACCACATAAACTAAATTCCAATTGAGAGTTTAAGTAGCACAACCTAGGTAGAGAAAAGCAACCTAACACACATCTATCAGTGCCATACTCGTCATAAATATATTACATATGTAGATAATGGGTCAAAGAAAAAAACAGAAACTCCCTCTAAATAGAATTCCAAAAAGTTTGTTATCAAACCAATGATCTCTCACCTGCATCAACCCCAAAATCTCCACATCTTCTCCCACCTTTATAGTTCCTTGCTCAACACGGCCAGTTGCCACAGTTCCACGTCCCTTCACAATCACAACAAACATCAATTTCATATTAGCATCAAAGCATTGGAAGGGAACTAATCACATTTTAATAAGTAACATAGATGTATCTCAACCCAACATCAATGTCATATTAGCATCAAAGCATTGACAGGGAACTAATCACCTTTTAATAAGTGACATAGATGTATCTCAACCCAAAATACATATTTCATTCAGCATTTTACATGTTACACCATCATCCTTTATTAAAAAATAATAATAATAAAATAAAAAGTAAAAAAGAGAGAAACATAAAATTTTGCTGGTGGTGCTAACAGTAAGGATTATTACAGTAGGTAAAAGATGTTGCTAGAATTCCACTAATTTGCTAGTAAACGAAATAGAACAACTGAATTTGAAGTGGAGCATCAGAGATATAACTTCAAAAGGAAATTAGAGCACCAAAATCCTGCTAAGCCAAAATAAAGGCTGAAAGGAAATTCAATGGATTCAAGAGAAATCACTGATCTATTTATTTACCTGAATAGAGAAAACGTCTTCAATTGGCATTAGGAATGGCTTATCAAGCACACGAACAGGATCTGGAATATATGCATCTACAGCATCCATTAACTTCAAAATAGCCTTCCTTCCAATTTCATCATTTGTACCCTGTAATGCTGACAGAGCAGAACCTCGAACGATAGGGATTTCATCCCCAGGGAACTTGTAGAAACTAAGCAATTCTGCAAGATTATAAATTCAATGGAAGAAAATTAAAGTTTATTCCAATCTGAAGAGTACTTGTACATAAAAGAGCATTTAAGAACAATAGAAAAGGAAAGAAAATTACTGGAAAACCAAACTTACCACGGAGTTCCATTTCCACGAGTTCAAGTAGTTCTTCATCATCAACAGCATCAACTTTGTTCAAAAAGCACACAAGTGATGGTACACCAACCTGCATCATATAGAAAGGGGAGGTTTATGTAATGACCAAAAAGTGGAATTTTATTTTTTTTATCCAAGACTGTCCATAAGTAGCAAGATCACCTGGCGTGCAAGTAAAATATGCTCTTTTGTTTGGGGCATGGGTCCATCGGGTGCAGATACAACAAGAATGCCACCATCCATTTGGGCAGCTCCAGTAATCATGTTCTGCAAATCAATTAAAAACATTTGGTGAACATAGAAATACATAAAGTCATAAACCTTCAGATTTTCAGAAGGATGCAAGTACTGAAAAAAAGGATGACTGCACAAACATTTTAAAGCCAAAGAATATAAAGACCAAGTTGTCTCACTTTAACATAATCAGCATGCCCAGGACAATCTACATGAGCATAGTGTCTCTTAGCAGTCTCATACTCCACATGAGCCTACACCATACATTTCAAATGTTAAAAAGTGAAGGAAAAACGATAACAAAAAGGAAATACAATAAACATTCTTGCTTGGAAGGTGACTGGTATTAAAATAAGTTATGTAATTTAAAGAAAATAGAGACCCAACCGTAGCAATAGTAATTCCTCTTTTTTTCTCTTCAGGAGCTTTATCAATTTCATCAAACGCAACAGCTTTAGCCTTTCCTTCTTCAGCTAGGACCTGAAGAAGAAAAATGCTTCAGAAGCAAAACCTTAAAGTATACTATTTAGACTAAGACTATGCAATATTAAAAAAAGGAACCTTAGTAATTGCTGCAGTTAGTGTAGTCTTTCCATGATCAACATGCCCAATTGTTCCCACATTAACATGAGGCTTTCTGCAATCATACACATTTTTATATACACAACTAGTTAAAATTAACATTCACTTTCTTTCTCTCAAATTTCTTAATTTTAATTTTCCGAAAACAGCAGAGCTCAATAGAAATGACTAGCAATTAGATTTGAAAAAACATTTGGTACTAGATGAAAAAGAAGCAAAAGATGAAAAACTCTGAAACATGTCTGATGAGAGTGGTGTTAAGATAGAAGTTAGAGCTCACGTTCGAGTAAAGGTAGCCATAGATCTCCACCAGGGGTTGGAGAACAAGGGAGTCTCATTTTGAGACGGCGATTCGGAGAGTGAAGGCTGAGCTAAAACCGATCCCCGGCAGCAGGCGTGGATTTGTGGAGATAGAGAGAGCAAACGCCTCGAGCTAGGGTTTCTGAACGCGACCGACGCCATTGGCAGATGAGCACGATGGGGTTTTCAGGGGTTTAGGACTCCACAGCTACCCTATTGCTACGCTTCTCTCCCACACCCCTTCAAGGGTTTTAGAAATCCCGGCAGTGCTTCAGGGAACGACGCCGTTTTGTTGCTTTCAGTGGGCTGGGCCATTGGGCTCATCGTGGGCTGGTTGATTCCGACTAGTTCAAATGCTCTTTTTTTTTTCTTTTTTTTTTTTATATTAAATTTAAATAAATTTATTTATTATTAAAGAATTTCAACTCTAATCTTCTTCCAAAAGGTTGAATCTCAATCTCAAAAGTTCTCCACAATTTGACCTAACAGAGTATTTAGGAGAATGTAAAATACAATGAGGGGTGTGCACATCTGTTCATTTTGGACATAACTCCTCACATTGTGACTGTAGAGGTTCGAACATAGTCTTTTTTTCAAATGTTGCCTATTGAACCAGTGGGTTAAGTTTGTGTAGGCAACTACGCCGTAATCTATATCTATAGTAATATTCGACGCAGTAAAAATAGTTTGTTGACTTTCACCAATAACCTTATGATTTATTGATTCTTTGTGCTTCAGTAATATAAACAGATATTACAAAAGAGATTATTGGCTTTCTAAGTTTAAAGTCGGTCTGTTGACCTTCTTGATTTAAACAGGTCAATTATGTGGTTTATCCTTTAAATAAATAAAAAAAAAAAGGTATTTTGCGTATAGACGGTGGAAGAATAACGGCGTTAAAATCGTCTGAACTCTACCCTAACTCTGCAACTGACGTCGTCGTGTCCTCCGCCAGCAGTTCTCTTCGATCGTCCGGTCCACACATTACTTTTGATTTCTTGATCCTGTTCTCCACTCTTGGCATCTATTCTAGAGTGTCGCCATCTCCAAACTCTACCTTCAATCTCAATTTTAGCCTTTTAGGATTCAGATTTATACCCAAAGTCCAATTCCCTGTTCTTTTCTTTTTAAAAAACGAAGCTTTTCTTTTTTCCTCCTTTCAGTGCAGAATAGGATTTTTTTCCCATATTTTTGTTCTTCTTTTTTTCTCACGTGGTGAGAATTTCATACTAAAGTTTGTGTGCGTTGGGGTTTAGGGTTATCGTTATAGGATTTTATAGTTTTATTTGAGCTTGTGAAAGATGGCTCCTTGGGGTGGGGTAACCTGCTGTTTGAGTGCGGCTGCTCTTTATCTTCTTGGGAGGAGCAGTGGAAGGTTTGTTCAGTTTAACTTTGTTTTGGATTGGTTTGAGTAAATTAGCTAATGTTGTTGACTGATTTGTGGTTGAATGCCTGCAACTTTGCAGGGATGCAGAGGCCTTGAAATCTGTTACCAGAGTGAATCATTTGAAGGATTTGGGTAGGCATGGAGTTCAATTATTTATGCTTCCTTTCATGATATGTCATAATGTTTATTATAGAATGAAGTATTTTTAGTTCTTTATGTGCTGTAATTCTGGAAGTGGAGATTGTCAAAAGAATGGGTTCTCAACATATAGTAGAATTTATAATTAAGTGTTTGGATTCAGAGGTTTTAAGAGTCCTTGCATTTGCAATCTGTTGTGACTTGTGAATGATCTTTTAAAATGGCATAATTGGAGTCTAAGGTCCTCGAAGTTCTAATTTCATTTTACATTCAGTAATCGATTCTGTTGCTTTGGTTGTAGCGCAATTGTTAGATACTGCTTCCAAGGTCTTGCCTTTTGTTGTCACGATATCTGGAAGGGTTGGTTCAGATACGCCAATTAGCTGCCAATATAGTGGCTTACGTGGAGTAATTCTCGAAGAAACGGTATGGGAAGTTATGTTTTCAAAATTCAAAGTGATATGGTTGTGATTATTTGAGTTGGTGGATATGTGGAATGCAATTGCTTTGATGTCTTTGCAGGCCGAGCAACATTTTCTTAAACACAATGATGCTGGTTCATGGATACAGGATTCCGCCTTAATGCTTTCCATGTGTAAAGAAGTTCCTTGGTATTTGGTGAGGTTTTATAACTTTCTTATTTCATCCCTTTCTTATCTTATTACTTAGTTTCACACCATTTCTAGAGCTAGCTCAATTCAGAAAGACAAGAAGTGTAAAGAAAATATTTCGAAGCCTTTGTTGGTTACTTGAAAGTTGAGTTCTTTTTGGACTAGGATGATGGAACTGGACGTGCGTTTGTAGTTGGTGGCCGAGGTGCCACGGGTTTGGTATTGACTGTTGGGAGTGAAGTGTTTGAAGAAGCGGGTCGATCCATTGGACGGGGAATGCTAGATTATCTTCAAGGTCTTAAGGTCTCTGTCAATCTATCACCTCTCCTTTATTATCTGCATATGCATGCCGTGTTCAAGTTCATCGTTGAGCCTAATGTCAATTATTGCTCTATTATTGTTAGCACATGCCAAAATACCAAATTGGCTTTACCACAATGCTATTAGCGAAAGCTTTTCCCATTGTAGTCCTGGGACCTTAGGTGTATCATCATGGTTGCAGTAGGCGCTAGGCGCTAGTCGGGCGGTAGAGTAGCGCCTAGACGGCTTAGGCGGGCGCTTATGCAGCTAACTAAAAAAAAAAAAAACAGTGCACGTGTGTGGGTGTATATATCATATTATACACACACACACACACACAAACACACACACACACACACATATATATATATATATATATATATATATATATATATATATATATAAGGCCGAGCCAACCGGGTTAACTCGGCTAACTCCACCGAAATGGACGAGTTATCTCGGCCGAGTTAGGCCCTAAGCGGCTGCCTAGGGGGGAAATCGCCACGGTCTAGGGGCGCCTAGACTGATTTTTACAACAGTGTGTATCATAGTTTTCCTTTAACAAATCTAAATATCCTCATTGCATCCGAAGTTCAAGATTACTAACACAAAATGTCTACATGAGTATTCTTTTACTTAACATTGATTACCCGATGCTTCTTTTTCAAGATGCTTGGCGTGAAGAGAGTTGAACGTGTACTTCCCGTTGGCACACCCTTGACGGTTATTGGTGAGGTATGTTTGCTGCTACTGGAGATAACCCAAGTTGATTCAATTTTGTTGTGATTGCTTTATTCGAGTATATTTTATCATGCTTTTTCAGTTGGAGGTTTTTGATAGTTGGTTGAGTTAATATATACTCAATTTATTGTATCAGGCTGTTAAGGATGACATAGGGACAGTTCGGATCCAACGACCTCATAAAGGCCCATTTTATATCTCTCGTAAAACTATTGACCAGCTTATTATGAATCTTGGGAAATGGGCGAGGTAAACATGCTTAACAATTATAATTTCACAAATTACCCATCACTTGTATATATGTTAAGTTGTTAACTATCCTTGAAAAGTTCCTTACGTAATAATCAAGTGTTTAAATATTTCAGGTGGTACAAATATGCTTCAATGGGGTTCACTGTCGTCGGTGTTTATCTGCTTGTAAAACATGCTTTCCAGTACATTACGGAAAGAAGGCGCCACTGGGAGCTGCGTAAGAGGTATAATACTATAATGTAATGTAATTACGAGAATTGGTATAAAGTGCAACACTTTCTTCGATGTTATTCCTTGTTTAAGATTAAGTGCAGTCTAATTACACTAAATATTTCCAATACATTAACGGAAACCCATTGTCGATGTAGAGTTCTTGCTGCTGCAGCTAAAAAATCTGGACAAGAAGATGAAGGTAGCTCGTTCGCTTTTTCAATATTCTACTTTTTTGTTGTTCGTAGAAATTGAAGCATGTGCTCCATCTCAACTAAAAGTTTAAAGCTGATAGTTGGATGGCTACATGCTCACACGCCCCCTCACGTGTGCGGTGGGTTCCAAGCAACACGTGGACCATAGTCACTTTTTTTTTTTTATCAGGTGGCGCGGAGATTCAAACCCATGACCTTTGGTCTGACTCTGATACTAAATTGAAGCATGTGCTCCATCTCAACTAAAAGCTTAAGCTGATAGTTGGATTGCATATTAATGGCTATATGCTCACAGTAGAGACGTAGACGGTTTTCATGTTCAAATTTTACATCTTCCACATTCCTTTGTGTTTATAGGTTCGAGTGTAAAAGAGGAAAACGGAGCGGATAGTAAAAAGGACCGGTTAATGCCAGATTTATGTGTAATATGCTTGGAGCAGGAATACAATACGGTTTTTGTCCAGTACGACCCGACCCTAATACAAAACAAAATCTTTTGATTTGCTTATCACTGAATCTCGGTACTAATGCATTCACGTTTTTGATTCAGGTGTGGGCATATGTGCTGTTGCATGGCGTGCTCGTCGCACTTGACAAACTGCCCGCTTTGCCGGAGACGGATCGAGCAGGTAGTCCGGACCTTTCGTCACTAAACTCTAAAACACGATTAATCTTTTTTTCCCTCCCCTGCCCTTAATACGAGACCTGGATGATTGTGGGGCCAATACTTTTGCGTCTGAGGCCGCCTAAGATGCACTACCGTGACAATGATACAGCTTCTGTCGAAACCGAAATTGTGTCCTTCAATTATGGTCATTCATACATCATCGTGTATGGTTCAGTGAAATGAGCAGACTGAGAATGAGTTGTGGGCTAATTTTTCTCGAACTTTATTCATGACCTGTAAATAGCACTGACCTGAAATGGTTTCTAGCTTTGCATTGTTTTTTTTGCACATTTCTCATGTTGTCACTAACTGTCTTATGTATGTATGTTATGTTCTGCTATTTGAGTAATCAAGAAATAAACTATGTTCAGGCTTCCTATAGTGTTTTCAAGTGAGGATTATTCTCTAGTTTCTTTTCACCGTTTCCTAACTGGAAAATTTCTCCAATTTTCTGGAAAACTCAAAAACTGGAGAACCAAGAAAACTTGGCAGGTAATAAATTTAAAGAAATGATCTAATAAAAGAAAATTCTGGGTAGTGCATTAAGCTATAGGAATAGGATGATAAGATTATTCTTTGAATGTACTTTTAACTTAACTATGATACAACTTTGGAATCCGATGCCCACAGCGTCGTCACCCTATTATACGTCAGAAGTGCTGAACTAATACCCCTTTCTGTTCTTGCACCATCCATATTTAGCAAATCTCATATACACACCTGTATAGTTAAGGACCAAACTCGTTGGGACAATCTAAGATAAGTTGGTCGATCCTCGTTGGGACAGTCTAAGATAAGTTGGTCAGATAATTCCATGGGAGCATCTATTGGTCTTTTTGGTTTGATCGAACCAGTTAGCTATGGACAAGCTAGGCTAGTTTGAGCTGATCAGCCTATACTAGTTTACCTTCTTATGGTCCTTTGCCGGCTGGTCCTTTAATTTGTCAATTCATATATAGAACACACAATTACAATAACGATTGTTCAGCAAATCAAATAAAATTTGTGACATTCTAATACTAGAGAGTATACTTCACCCACTCGTCTATCCCAACCTATTTAATATTTAATTTCTTGTCAGGAATTTAAGAAATTAAAGTTGGGAATATGATCCCTAATCCATTTCACAACTTGCTTATGAAAAGATTAATCACCTACTGGCTAAATGAAACCGTCTTTCAATTCACCTTTACCTATGGGAATAATGGCTGGAAATTCCACCCTCCATTCATACGTGAAGAACGTGTTTAAGCAACTAAATTCCCTTTAATCCCATCAATCATATTTATTTGGCTCTGCCCCTGTTTCTTCTTCCCCATCCCCTCTGCTTCCCAATGGCGAGAAACCAATCTCCAGATAGTATCTCAGTAGCCTACAACCATAACCAAGAGAAAACTGCAAAGAAAGTGACCATGGCGGATTATCTCCATCCCAGCAAAGAGAAAGGCGGCGGCGGCGGCCACCACGAAGCTAAGTTCTCTGAGTTTATTAACCGCGTTAGGGATAAAAGAACCAGAACCACCACGGTCCAAGGCGGCGGTGGCGGCGATGGCGGTGGCAAAACCCGGGCCGCGGCGGTGATGAGAAGAGATAGCTTTAATGACAGGGTTTCTCATTTCATCCATACCGCCATGCACAAGATCAAGAGGACTTCGTCTAACGTCGGAGCTGATGATCATGGTAACCCAAATTAAACACTACTGCCTCTGGTCTTTCAACAATTCCCCACTTCCATTACTGTACTGTTATAGAGTTCATCAAATAAATTTATAAAACACAAAGTTAATTTCAAACTCTTGTACTCAAATTATAAGAAAGCTTGCAACTAGCCAACTACTATATATATATATACTACGTATTGAACAAAGCCTATTTTATAACTCTATCCAGCAAAAGATCGCGCTAGAAAATAAATCAGTCTAAATCGTTGTTTATAGTTGAATCGGTGATTCATAAAAAGGTATTTTGTCATCATTAGACAGAAATTTTGAGTTGAAGTTATGAAACTCATGAAGAAATATGCATATGTGGTTGGGACGAAGACATTCTCTAGGGAACACACAGCCGTTTGAGGTTTTAATTTTGTCCTGAGAATCTATGCCACCAATATTAAATTACATGCATAGTTTGCTTAAGTAGTGCCACATGCATGCACTAACACATATCGTACCACAATGAACAATATATAAATTGTGCCATCTAATATTAAAATTATATATTTATCGATTATTTAAATAATATACATTACAATTTTTAAAAAAAATTATTCTCTACATAATATAATAAACTAATAATTTGAATTCTTCATAAGTAGTGTCATTGATCAAGATCCCTTAATTATCTGGAGAATCTCTTTATTTATAGTGTTACACGAAGAACATGTGTTGCGTTCCTCGTTGATAGGTTTTATTGGGCAGCACAACACGTAGTGTCGTCGTCGGCCCTTGGAGTGACATATGTAGCAATGGTGGTGGAAGTAATTGTTCTGTCATTTGTTCCTAGTGACTTTCAGATTATTAATTATGATATCATTAAATAATGGGTCATATAACCCTATCAAGTACAATTAGAGTTGTCAATACGAGTTGACGGGCCGGACTGGACTTGAGTGTTACTGGCCCAAACTGCCTTGTCCTTGGCCCGCGGGCCCTCGCTACACAACCCCCCCCCCCCCTCCTCTTTTTTTTTTTTTTTTGGGGGGGGGGGGGGTTCTTAACTCGTAAGGTTTTTTTTTTTTTTTTTTTTTTTTTTTTTTTTTTTTTTAAGGAGTTGTTAGTTTGTTACTTTGTTAAGTTTTACCATTTGTACACTCTAAAAATAATTAAAATAACTTCTTATATAACTAACATAAAACATAGTTCATCAAACATTAGACATTACATAATACATAACAATAATTATAAAGTTCATATACAGTCTAAAATTTTAAAACATTAAACTAAGGTTATGGTTATTTTATATATATATATATATATATATATATATATATATGTATATATATATATATATATATATATATATATATATATATATATATAAAAGTGACGGGCAACCCGCTCCATCCCGCCAAGTCCGCGGGCCTAGGTGGGCGGGTCAAAAAAATTCCGCACCTTAACGGACTGCTATTTTTGAAACCACACCTCCTACCTAAGTAGGGATAGGACGGGACGGGACGAGCCAGGGACAAAGTCCGTTTTGACAACTGCACTCTAGGTGGAGGACACAACGATGTCAGTTGAAGAGTTAGGGTAGAGCTCTGTGTACAATAATTTATACATATAATTATACTCAATACTGTCAGAATTAATGATGATGATCAACATCTTAATAAATCTATATATGTGTGTTGTTAACTTTGGTTTGGTCTTCTTGATCAATCAACTTCAACTTGATAAATAAAACCAAAAACATGATAATTGAGATGCTTGACAATGATGGAGGGGGAATTAGCAGCCTCTACTGCACTAATGTGACCAAATGGTCAATATTCATATTTATATTTAAATTTATTAATTATATTTTAATAATCCACAACTTTACAGAATTCACAGAATCACAGGTTCTCCACTGTCCCACACCAATGCAACTTTTTGTTTCCTAATTAATTAAATAATTCTTTTTATGAAACCATGTGTATAAAATATTTCTTCATATGAGTTTGCTTCCACACTACAAATCTAGTCCAGTATTCACTTTAAGAGGCTGTTTTCACATTATGACTGATAAGACTCGATCCTGAATTATTGTTCTTAAATTTGATACCTGTAAGTCCTGTGACTAACTGAGCTGTCCATGCAGATAGTATGCCTTCCTCCTTGTACCGGTGTTTATATGAAATGATTACACGTCTAGATGTTGCAATTGCCATGGTTAAGCCGTCATGGACGTGACGGCTAATTAATTTGAATTTTATATATTCAACGTGGCAAGTGACGGTCATGGAAGGATGGCTACGAGGTGGAGTTTAGTATTATTGTTCTAAGACTTTTGACAAATTAATTAATGAGTCTTGTTTTTAGGCAAACTGCAAAGACCATGCATGTGAAGCCAAGTAGCCAACACATGAAATTCTCTTTGGTTTTCATGATTTTGAGTTTGGTGAGGATGGTAAACTATGTAGGACATCATATATTATTGTGGTATTCCGATCCGCACACCCAACTACATGCAACTAACATGTAATTATTATTAACATTTTAATGATAGATATTGATGTTTATTGACTTATTACAATCTCAACATAAATTGTACCATAAGTTAAACATGAAATTAAATTATAATAGATGGTATAATGACGACGATATAATGAAATAAGCAAAGGGTTCTTGATCATTCAGGGTGAACCAAATACAATGTGTATTAAGTATAGTCGAATTGAATATCAATTCTTTTTATAGTGCATCTATATTGAATTTATAATTTAGGATGATGTCCGATCTAGTTGTTATAGAAAGGCTAATAGATTATAGATATGTGTCTAATGACGATTCTCTTCATAATCACGGCTGGTAGTTAGTGAAATTATAGAGTAATTGTAATAGATTTCACATGTATATTCTTAACTAAGACTAGTAGTTAGCTAGGTATGTCGGGTGTCCATAGCAAGGTTGAATTAGATACACCGAACTTTTAAAATATATTTTGAGAATTCGATCTTAGACTTTCTATCATACTTTATATGAGTTTGAGTAGTGGAGCCGGTGGCCTATTACCAAAGTGCTTGGCTGCTATCTCTTTTATAATTTTCCGTGATTTTATATAATTAATTTATACTGAGATTATCTAATTTACTAATGACGGAATGAAATATATAATGAAAAAATTCACCTAAATAACGTATTCCAAATTGTATTTAAAAATAGGAGGAGCCAGTTTGGGTGCGCTATTTTGCTGTAACCATGATTAAAAATCTTGAAATATTCCGGGACAGAATCATTGCTCAATAATATAATCAATTATGTGCTGTTGTAAAATCAGCACCGTCGATCCATGCCACCTGTTCGCCCCCATCCATTTCAAAATGAGTAAATGCTAGCCAAGATCCTCCGAGTTTGGTGATTTTGCTACCTTTACTCCTAAATTTTTAAATCGATCTTCCGAGTTTCGAAATTAACTTATCATAGTCCTTCCGTTAAAATATTCCGTCTTATACATAAAAATTAAGGGTGAAACAGTTTTTTTTTTTGTTTTTTTTTTATTGCAACCTCAGCCAAAACAATTCATTTTCCTCATAAATTAGCCCTAATCCATTTCTTCGTACCTTCTTCCTCCCACTTCTTCCTCCGCGACCGGTGCTGTTCCGGAGGGGGTTCAACTCTTTCTCGGATGTAATAAAATGAATTGTTTTGACTGAGGTTGCAATAAAAAGACTGTTTTGCCTTTAAATTTCTTAGCTGAGACAGAATATCTTAATGGAAGGACTACGAAAGGTCGATTTCGAAACTCGGGAGATCACGAGGGGTTAATTTGAATGTTTAGGACTAAAGGTGGCGAAATCACCAAACTCGGATGACCTTGGCTGGTATTTACTCATTTCAAAATTGTTTTCAATTTTATTTTTTCTACTGTACATATTGGCTTTATTTGGTAAAATAATTAGCTTATCAACTAATTTTGACTTATTTGACAACTATTAGTTGTTTGACTTAGTAAAACAATCTATATGAGTATTTGATTAATTAACTTTTTATAACAACTTATTGCTTTAAAATGCTAAAATTCAAAAAAACTGTTCAAAGTAATTTTTTCAATCAAATTTTGTGAGAAAGTCATTTTGTAGGTAATCAATTATCAAATAACAGTTAATTTACCAAATACTTTCCTACAATCAACTAATACTATCAACCTGTCAAACCACTAACCCAATAAGCTAACATCGTAGTTATTTACCAAACACTTCCATTATAATAATCCAACTTAAAAATGATTATTGTTCATGAATTTAACCATTCCCCCGGTCCAATGGGGACGGGAATGAGGAACACCCTCCATTATTAATGTATTCCAACTCAAAACCTCAATCAATATCAATTCGGTCCAGAAAATCCAGCCCCATCGTCCCATCTAGCAAAAATTGTTTGCATCTTAGAAGGAAACTTCTTCCTTTTGGTACAATGCTAATTCCTCTATATTTGGCTTTCCAAATTTGATTTTCCACCCCGGTATTTTTAACATATTACCCACATGGCCACATGCATTATATTTATAAGAAAAATACTATATGTATTCCCATTCTCTACTCTCACACTTAAAATTTGAATTAATATCCAATTTAGTCATTGACTATAATAATTTTTCTTGATTTAATTCTAAATGACTTTTTGTGCTTAATTAAGTCCCCGACTTTGATGATTTTCTCAATTGGGTCCTATATTTAAAGTGGTAATTTCACTTCTATTAATACCCAATTTATTCAAAAAAAAAAAAGTAATACCCAATTTAATCATTAACTTGAGTAGTTTTATCCAAGTTAGTCTTCAACTATAATTATTTTACCCAATTTAATCCTTAGATTCTAACAACCGAGAACTCAATTGGTAAAATCATCAAAGTCGAGAACCTAATTAAGGCTCCGTTTGGCAAACATAGCTGAAAAGCTATAAGCTAAGAGCTGAAAGCTGAAAAGCTATAAGCTCGGAGCTGAAAATTAAAGAGTTGTTAAGCTAGCTGTTATGATTGAAAGTGTTTGGTAAAATTAGTTTTTTGATGAGCTGATAAATGTAAAAAGACTAAAAAGGACATCTTCATAAAATTTAAATTAGTTTGTTTACATATTAAAATTTAACATTTTATCTTTAAAAAAATTAGCATTTTGAAATAAAACTATTAGCATAATCATGATCTAGCATCTCATAATGAAATAGCAATATTGTTGCAAATCTCATAATAATAATAATAACAATAATAATAATAATAACAACAACAACAACAACAAAAACAATAATAATAATAATAATAATAATAATAATAATAATAATAATAATAATATTTGTGGTGAAAGATGCTGGTAAAGGAGAAAGAGAAAAGGTTTTAATTGGGAATGGTAAATTATGTCATTTTATTAAAAAAAATAATAAGAATAAAGATAAAAAAAAAAGTTAAGAAGTTAGGAGCTTATTATGGAATGCTACCTAAGGTAGCATTTCAAAATAAGCTCTTATTTTAAGTTAGAAGCTTATTTTGATAACATTACCAAACAGAGCTTATTAGTAGCTTAAAATAAACTATAAAGTACAAAAGGTCGTTAGTTCATATGACTAAATTGGATATTATTTTAACTCCTTAAAATTTTGATGTAGACATATTTACTGGGGTTTACATAAAAAAAAATAGTCTATCAATATCTGGCACATAAAAAGCAAATTTGAGGGATTAAGATTTGAGAATATATATGGTAAAACTCTATTTATAAAATCCAATTTTCATCCGAACCCTTCTCCCAACTAACCTCTCCGCCTAGCTACCTTCTTCTTCCATCTCTCACTGACTCACTTTGCCTGCTTAAAGAAATTATTTTTTCAAGAAAATCTGAATCTTTAGCTGATATATATATATATAACACGTGTATATATATATATGTGTGTGTGTATAGCCAACGCATTGCGACTGCGACTTGACTGGAATATTTATGTGTATATATAATATATAGTAATTTAGAGCGTTGGAGTTGTATAGGTGGAGTGAATTTGGTGATATAAGAGTGGGGAAGATGCCGCCGGCGGCCGGCTCTATATCGCAGTTTGATGGAGTGGGGTTCAGGGCACCTCTGTTGCCGACGACAGTAGTGCAGCCACCGGCCGCGGTGGTGCCGGAGGCGGTAGCCAAGGACGCCATCATTGCGTGGTTCAGGGGGGAGTTTGCGGCGGCCAACGCCATTATTGACGCCCTCTGCAGCCACCTGGCGCAGATGGAGGGCGGCGGCGGCGGCGGCGGCGGGTGCGAGTACGAGTCCCTGTTCACCGCCGTCCACCGCCGGAGGTTTAACTGGATCCCGATCCTCCAGATGCAGAAGTACTTCTCCATTGCTGACGTCACGCTCGAGCTCCAGAAAGTCGCCGCCAGAAGGGCTAAGGAGAGAGAGGCGGCGGCCGCGGCCGCCGAACAGAGCGTGTCTGAAGCCGACGAGTCTTCTGGGGAGAAGGTGACGGTTCCGGCGGCTCCTGCGGAGGAATACGGCGAGATCAGTTGCGAAAATGGCGGAGATGACGCAGCAGATTCCATTAAAGAAGACTCACATGATGCACCTGAAAGTGAGATCATCGATACAGGTAATTAATTCTCCGTACTGATTATTTCAACGCTTAACCATTTATTAATCATTAATAATTAACAATTCATGAGATTAAGAAATCTTAATCTTAATCTACTTTTCTTTGACGTTAAATAACGGCAACATAGTGACAGAAATGTTTGGTATTTTCCCGAGATTTGGGAAAAGTTAAGAGATTGAAAAAGGTTACAGAGGGTGACGGTGACGGTGGCGGTGGCCACCTCATGTCACCGCTAGCCGCCGCCACCAGGAGGTGGGCACGCGATCAAAAGATTTAAACTTTAATGAAAATTCACGGTGGGCGGCGAGTGGCAGCAGCCATCACGTTAAACTTAACGGACGTCAGGCTGCGCCGCCGAGCCTTCTTGACTCCGTTGGGACCCAGATGGTCGGAGCCTTTGACAATTCTCCTCGAGTCCAACTCACCTAACTCAGACGAGTTAACTCGTCTGTCAGTCAGTCAGCATCCAACTTAGAATTGAGTGATCCGAATTCCAATGAGGCAATGAAGACTGACAGATACAGTAATATTGTACTAATTCTAGTCTTTTTTTAAGTAGAAATTCGTATTCACTAGAAGTGTATATATGATCATAAAAAAATAAATTAACTTAGGTTATTTATAGGTGACCGGTTCAAATTAAGAGGATTTGTCCCACTAAAGTTGTGGTTATGAAGTCAATAGTCTAACCAACTTGGCTGGAGCTATTCCTGACCTACAACATTTACTTGAAAGTGGCTTTGGGTAAAGTCCTACCTACCGTCTAAGTTGTTCATAGTTGACCAGCTCAACCAAGAAAGCCAATAGCAACGCCTATGAAGAGTCGAACTTGCAATTTTATGATATCATCTGATCACCTTTATTTTCCAAAAAAAAAAAAAAAAAATCTGATCACCTTAATTGGGATTGTCTTTGAGTTTTACTTTTTGGAGTTACACTTGTCACAAAAGATACAAAAATGTTTGGCCTTACACATAGCTGATAGCTCTTTCCTAGTACATGGTACTAGTTGTCACACGACAAGGGTTCTTTCCTATTCTTGTCACAACATGTTTTTGCCAGCTAGGTGTCTTGAAGAAGAAAAGTATGTGGGTAGGCAACAATAATTCAAAGGGCAACCCCAATATAGCAAGTCCTATGATTATTCATGTTCATTTCCTCATCCAATATAGTAAACATTGTTGTTTTCCTGCCATGATTGTGATGCAGGATCTCAAGAAGTGCGCCCTTCACCAGAGTGCGTCGGGTTCTGCTCTAGCCCCGAGGACTGTGAGGCACACCGGGCTCAGATCAAGATGAGAAAGGGGTTTTCAGCGAGGGAGCCGGTCAAAGGGCATATGGTGAAGCCTCTATCCATACAAGCATTTATATGTTCTTTGGAATGGTTAGACTTTAGAAGCTGTTATCCTCTGGCCTTAAACTCGTTTTTTTTTTTGGTGAATGGCAGGTAAATGTTGTCAGAGGTCTGAAGTTGTATGAGGATATGTTTTCTTCGACTGAAGTTTCTGAGTTAAATGAGTTTGTGAATGAACTCCGAGTTGCTGGCCAAAACGGAGAACTCTCAGGTGGATCCTGTGATCCGTGACGCTTTTATAGTTATTCTTGTTTCCTTTTTGGAGAGATAGTAAAGGACACCTTCTGTAGGTTTACTTGAGAGCAGGTTTGGGCATTCATATTTCCTTAGCTTGAATCGAAATCTTTCGTTCCTGAACTTGTCTTTTATCTGTTCAAACTTCTGCAATGTGTTTAGGTGTACTTTGCAGCACTCTTTTATGATGCTTTCCAATTTCTGATCTTATAGTCTCCAAACAGTGGTTGTGGCTATTTCCCAAGTTTCAGACCCTGATTGTTAATCGTTTTCAGGTGAAACTTTTGTTCTGTATAACCAGCAACTGAAGGGCAACAAACGAGAGATGATTCAACTCGGTGCCCCAATTTTCGGCCACGTAGAAGACAATCCTACATGTCAGAAGATTGAGGCTATTCCAGCTCTGCTTGAAGGTGTCATCAGTCGCTTGATTCAGTGCCATTTGATTTCAGAGAATCGGAGACCAAATGGCTGCATCATTAACTTCTTCGACGAGGTATATATCTTTCTGCACCATATATTCTTCGAGTCTGGATATATAGACTTACAGAGTTACGAGTATGCAGGGGGAGTATTCGCAACCTTTCTTGAAGCCGCCTCATTTGGACCAACCTGTCTCTACCCTTCTCTTATCTGAATCAACAATGGCGTTTGGTCGAGCTCTTGTCAATAACAGTGATGGGAACTATAGAGGATCACTCATGCTTCCCTTGAAGGAAGGGTATGTTATTATCTTTTGAAGCATGTGCTCCATCTCCCCCATGACCGTTGGTCTGACTCTGATACCAAATTGAAGCATGTGCTCCATCTCAACTAAAGCTAATAGTTGGATTGCACATTAATGGTTATATGCTCAACACATAGTATTGATAAGAACAAAACAATGAGAACTTCGATTATGATGCATATTTTGCAGGTCGCTTTTAGTGATGAGGGGAAACAGTGCTGATACAGCAAGGCATGCTATGTGCTCGTCGCCTAACAAAAGAGTAAGCGTTACATTCTTCAAAGTCCGGGCTGCACAGATCGAAAACAGCTTATCAGCAGCAGTTCCGCCTTTCACCCGAGCCATGACCTTATGGAAACCCGGTGTCCCCTCAGCTCCAAATGGAAACACTGGCTACGAAACAATGCCCAGTTGGGGTGTTCTTCGGGCTCCACTCGTTATGTTGGCGCCTGTACGCCCGATAGTCCTGAGGCCTCGAAAGGCTCCTCGTGCTGGTACTGGGGTGTTCTTTCCTTGGAAAGTTGGATCCAAGAAACCCGTTAAGCAACTCCCTCCACGTGCCCAGAAAGCTCGGCTCCTGGGACTGCCTTCCTCAGGCGAAACACGTAAAGTAGACACCCCCGACGAAGATCTTGATGGGGAACAAGTCTAAGTTTCCTTAGTTTGGTATAGGATGTTCATCCAACTGTACAATGAAATCTGGTAATCTGGTGTTGAGGAAAGAGTCTCTGCTTCTTTGCTATCTAGTTTTTGGTTTCTTTCTTCCCTAGGCATTACAAACAGTTGTGCTTTTTAAGTTAAAAGTGAATTTTGTATTAAATTTCATTTTTTTTTTCTTGTCCTGATGTGAATGTTTGTCCATTTGATGAGTACAATACAGTTGCTAGAGATTTCATTGAGTGTATATACAGTCATATGATCTAATAAACTAGACAGTTGAGATACAAGATTCTTATTAAGGTGGTTGGTTGGTCCTACACAAGAATATGGCATGCTTCACAACGACACAGGAATCTAAAGTTGAATATTGGACGAAAATGGGAACTATGAAAAAATCACAGATGGGGATGCTCTAGTATTGATTGCCTAATTTCATATGATTTTTACCTGTTCAGAGTTCGAAATGTGAGGTGAAGATCGGATAAAATAATTAGCATTAAAATTGATATATACTAACAAGGAATATGTATTGAGTTATGAAAGAAAATTGAGAGTTGTGTAAAGAAAACAAAAGTTTAAAGACAAGGTAATTAATTGGGATCCAAATTGGCAACATTTAGAACATAGAGATTGTATATTTTTGAGAGATTAAATTGTATAACAAGTAATAAGTAAGGGACCAAATATACAATTTTTTATTTCAAGAAACAAAAGTGAGATTTCATATAAAAATGATTATTTTTATTCATTCATGATTTGAATCTCAACATGAAGCACAATAAGTAGTAAAACAAACAAGATAATTGGACTTGATCAAATCCAATAATAGAGTTCAAACTCCATGAACCAAACACGCACATAAAGATAATAGCAAAATTAAATCTATTCTTTAAAAAAAAAAAAAAAGGAACACTATCATTTTAGTAAATGATCAAAGAAATCCCAAACATATACCCTCGTATCACTGTTCATTAAGACATGAAAGAGGTGTAACATAAGATCTAATTCGAATATAATAAATTCCAAAAATTTTATAAGAAACACAAGGAGAAAATCATCATACCTTTGTATTTCAATACAAGTGCATAATTGAAAAATAAGTAGTTCTCTACCACAAAATTCTCAAAATGAATTAATAGGTTGGTCCGAATCTGCTTCTTGGCAGACTTTAGCCGTGTGGCTATTAGCCTTTGGTCCATTTTCGGTCATTTAGCTTATGCCTTTTCTCTTCGCAAATTATGCTGTGCAACCGAATGCACCTTGCAAGGTGCATACGGTTGCAAAACGGCGCCGTTTTGGTTAAAAAAACGCGCGTCCCACTTAAAGAAGAAATCAGGTTTGATTCCCGGCAATAGCATTTTTATATATCCAGAAATTCATAACTATATAACCACAATTTCATAACTATATATCCACAATTTCATAATTATATATCCACAGTGAATGAATGAAGTAAAAATCCACAATGAATGAATGAATGAAGTAAAAATCCACAATGAATGAACTAAATATCCACAATATATGATTGAACTAAATATCCACAATGAATGAAATAAATATCTATAAATTCATAACTATATAACCACAATTTCATAACTATATATCCACAATAATGCTATTGCTGAGAGTCGAACCTGATTTTTTTTTTTAAAGTGGGACGCGCGTTTTTAATCAAAACGACGTCGTTTTGAACCGTATGCACCATGCGCATGGTACATTCGGTTGCACAGCATAACTATTGTTTTCTCTTTAGTCCTTATGGACCTTGCTTTGATTAGGGCCTTGGGCCCCTTGAATGGCAAATTATTGTATGGACCATGGTCCACATAATGTTATGTGGACCCTAACAAAAAGTACATTTTTAATATACTAAATGTACATTATACAATATAATGTACACTCAGAACAAAAATATTGTATATCCCCTGTATACAATACACATTATTTTTGTAATGAATATACATTATTTTTGTACTGAATGTACATTATTTTATAATAGACAAAATATGGTCCATACAACTTGTGTAGACCATAGTCCACACAATAATGACTGCCCTTGAATAGTTTAGGCTATACTTAGTCCTTTTAGATTATAAGGCCTTTCGGCCTTTGGCCTTTAGCCTTAGGTCACTTTTGGGCCTAAGGTGGTTGTAAGGCTTATGCCTTTTTTGCATTGAATAAAAGTTGTGGCTTATGGAAAAAAAAATTAGTAGGTAAATTTAAGATGAAAAGAAGTTCAATGTCTCAACTCTCAAGGTTGCAAATTATAAAACAAGAAAAAAAAAAATCTAATTTCTAATCCAACAAAAAAATCAAAGCCACACGTAGAGCACAACAAAAATCAAAGGGAAAATAAATTTTAAGGAAAAATCTTATATATAATTAAAATTTTAATTAAAAAAAAAGAATTTTAAAACAATCAGACAAGTAATCAAAATTCAAAAAGGTATTCTTGATAATAGATTAGGAAGAGAAACAAAGAACAATTAGTGGGATAAATCAAACCAAGATCTAGCAAAAGTTCAATATGGAATGAAAACGGAAACTCACAACAAAATTATCTCTATTTTGAAGTTGTGTAGAAGTTCAAGAAGAAATTAAGTTCACTTGATTTCTTGCATATGTGCTCTTCTTTAACATTGATGTTCGGCAAAAGTTATATATAGGTATGGCGTGGTGCTTTTGTGTCACTTTTACACATTGATGTTCGGCTATTATATTGTTATTTATTCTATATGATATGATAAAACAATAATGTTGTTTCGTTCGTGCGTCTTTCGTGCGTTGCAGCTAAAGCTAAGATGGAGTTTGAATTGAATTCCTAGCAAAAATGGTTAACCCAAACGCAGGAGGAGGCGGTGAAGGCAACAACAAAGGCGACAAGGGCAAGGGAAAGATGATAGTGATGGAAGACAACAGCGATAAGGGGAAGATGATAATAAAGACTTCCATTAATTCCAAGGACGATGATATCCTAGTTCTACCTGACTTGGATTTGCAGAACTATGGAACGTTAGCAGAATCGCTCCACAAACAAATGCTTGAGGTGAAGGCATGGAAGGAGATAAGAGCTCAAATCTCTGCAATTCAAGAAATGCAAGAGTTCGATCTAGTGCTTCAATGGTTGCATGTAATTTCTTTATAATATTTTCATGTTTTGGTATTCCCTTTTTTGCTCCTATTATATTGTTATTTATTCTAATCTGTGTGATAAAATAATGTTGTTTTCTTTCGTGCGTCTTTCGTGCGTGTTTTATTTCCAAATTTACAGATTTTCTTTTATTTAAAAGTAGTTTACAATTTTTGATGTTTTTGTTTTTTTTTAATGTTTTTAAAACATACTAATTTAACCCCATAGTCGACTCATAAAGGTTTAAAATTTCTAGTCCGTCGCAAGTAAGATAAACCAACCCTCACGTGCATGGAGCGTTATGCTGTGTGCACCATACATAGTGCACACGGTTGCACAAACGATATCATTTTAACGTCCGACTTTAAAAAAAAAAAATTAATTTCGATTGCCGTTAACAGCGTTATGTTGTGCATAATTTGAACTATATAGTTTATTCATTCTGGATATATAGTTCAAATTATGCACAACATAACGCCTTTAACAGCAATCGAAACTGATTTTTTTTTTATAAAGTCGGACGCGTTGTTTTTTTTTATCAAAATAATATCGTTTTTGCAACCGTGTGCACAATGCAGCATGACATAATTTGCGCATGGACATCCTTCTTAGAAGTCTCATTAATATTGGGTTGAATTGTGGGCTTCCCTTTTGTTGAGCATATAACCATTAATGTGCAATCCAATTATCAGCTTAGGCTTTTAGTTGAGATAGAACACATGCTTCAATTTGGTATCAGAGTCAGACTAAAGATCATGGGTCCACACACGTGAGGGAGCGTGTTGAGCATATAACCATTAATGTGCAATTTAACTATCAGCTTAGACTTTTAGTTGAGATGGAGCCTGCTTCAATTCCTTTCAATTTGAATTTCCATCTAAATGCAATGCAACCCTTTTATGTGTGTGTATATATATATATATATATATATATATATATATATATAATTCTTTATGTTTATTAATAATTTATATATTGATTATTCTCAATAGATAACTACTATACAGTACGTACACATATAACAACTATATAAAACTCTACCTTAGCTTCTAGTAAAGTTTGAAGTTTGGACTAATTAATGTTCAAAGATAAGATACATATTTTTGAGATAATAAAATTGAATTCATCAAGTACCAATACAGCAAATATATTTAAATTTATCATACTTGAGCTGCAAAAATCTTGCATAGATACCAATTAATCGGCGCCTAAGCGCAAGGTGCTGGCCGGCCACCTAGCGTCTTACCATAATCAGTGGTTTAGGCGGCTGGCCGAATAGGCCACCTAAGCATCGTCTAAGCTGTTTAGGCGCTGACCGGCTAGGCCTTCTAGGCACCGATTGGGTTGCCTAGTCGGCCAATTAGCAATTGTTCCATTCTTTTTTAAATGAGATATTTCACTCAAAACAACATCGCTTTTAGCGAAATAACCATAAGCTAAATTGTTCAAACTCTAGATATTTTTAAGGTTAATAACTTAATATTTAATATTTTAGTATTAACTATTAAAGTATTATAGTTTATAATTATCAAATCTTAAAAAATTTAAAATTTGTACACAAATTTTTAAAAAAATAAAAAAAATAAAAAAAAAATTACACGGGTGCCTAGATCAATATGAAATCACTTAATTGTCTCTCTATTTAAACCATCAATTTGACGGAATAACCAACGGAGAATTACATTAAGCAAAAACACAAAAGTCTGGTATTACTAGGGGTGTGCAAACTTCGGATAATTTTCGGTTAACCGACCGAATCGACAAAGTTCGGTTAACAGTTTTCGAACCGAACTTTTTCAGTTCGGTTAATGGTTAAAGAAATTTTAAAATTTCGGTTAATGGTTAATTCGGTTCGAAAGGTCGGTTAATCGAATGGTTAACCGAAGTTTTTAATATATATATAAATAATAATATAAATATAAATACTAATTTGAAGTTATGGATGTTTGGAGGTTATAATTCATGTTTTTTATATGTTATTATGAATTTATTATGATATATATTTTTATTTTAATTGAATTTATTATTTTAGGTGTTATTTTTAGAATTTTA